ATAGAGAAAACAAGTAAAATAATCTATGATTGAATTTATGTTTACACTTAGATAATATATAAAATATTTGTGGTCTAAGTAATTTTAGGTATATTCAGGACACAAATATCTTATATTATTTCCATCTTGTACAAAGTAAAAATGATAAAAATATATACTTATTAAATTTTATGTAACAATATAGGTAATTTCCAACGTTTTAAATAAAACAATTGAACACATGAATTTTTTTTATATTTAAATCAACAAAGTATTTAAATTTTTTTAAATTTAAATTGCAACAATTTTTAAGTTATTTCACCTAAAGGCAATAGTTTTGTTAAATTTTTATAAATTACACAAGGTTGTATCGATGCAAATAATTTGTACAGTATATTTAGGTTTATATCAAGCACTGCGGGCTCGATAGTTTGGGGGGACTTCAGTTTATGCTCTGAAACCACTACTAATGCATCAAAGAAAAATAGTTCGTATATGTTTACATTAACATGATTAGTGGACAGTGGCGTTTCCATGGGTTATACTCACGATGTTTAAAATATAAGGTGATACTGCTTTTAATGCTACGATATTGACAAACACAATTACAGCAGTTTTGTAGTTCATAATTTCTCACCAGCGTACGTTAATATTCACCTGAAAGCCGATTTTTTTATACGTTTTAATAGCGATATATACTTGATTTTTATTTCTTATGTATTATTTTATGTTATTCCAATTTAAAGGGTAGTAATATTCGAAAGTATATTGACGTATTACAAATATTAAAAATTGAATCAAATAAAATTAAAAAATTATATTCTATGGTACCTATAATTGTTTAATAATTGGTATAATATTTTGTATATTACCTATATTATCGAATATGTTTGTATAAAATATTATTTTATAACATAGAAATTTGACATATATGCAGCTTGTGTAAAACAAAATATATTTATAAAAGATGTTAGTTGACGAAATTTGATTACCGGAAATGACAAAAAAAAAAAAGGACCTTAAAAAATCCAATAAATGACCTTAAAAATTCTAAACATCAAAAAATTTAAAATAAAAATTTCATAAATGAAGTTGTTTTTACATAATTCAAATTATGTACTTAAAAAGCTAAGTTTAAAATTTAGCTAAAAAAATGCACTTTCCTACAAATTTACAGCCCTAAAAATAACACTTTCTTAATTAAAACTATTTAACCATGTACCTGCATACCCGTAGACAGTTTTTTTTTGGATTTGATGGGTCCGAAAATAAAATTGAACATGAACTACCAATATTTTGATTTTTTGTGAGAAGCTTAAATTTCGAGGCTAGGGGGATTATTATTCTGATTATTTGAGAGCTATTTATAGGTATTTTTTATTTGCAAATTTGTCTACCTTATTTTAGATCCTGAATGTAGCGAAAAATATATTGGTTTTATTAAGATGCTTATTTTTTTTTTTTTTATTCTATGTACAAAAATTTGACTAGAAATCTTCCTCATAAATATATATATATATATATATATATATATATATATGCATGGCACCATTTCTAAAAGGGAATATTATCCTGATAGTACTTTTAGGAGGTCATTTTTCGATTTTCTCATACCCAAAGGCAAATCAAAGAATGACTTCCTTAATGTACTTCCCCATGCCGATTTCCATTCAGAAAAAGTGCTAAACGGCGGTATAAACTTAACATAATAAAACATAAACAATTTTAATATTTTTAAAACTATAAGCCTCAACTCAGAATCTAAAATTATGGGCTAGAATATGAAAGAAGATTAATAGAAAAAAACTTTAAATTGTTAATAATTATTTACAATTGATTAATAAATACAATTTTTTTTCTTTTATATAACTGTATATTAACAAACCCATTGATAAATAAACGCTATACTTAAAAATACTTAATACCTATTATGTGTGTTAAATTATTACGAGAAATGTGTTATATTTAGTATTCCTTATTTGCTGCAGGTGTCGCATGTTTAGATCATGGCTTAAACAATTTTCCAAAAAATGACTCTTACAATAAAAATTTTAAAAAATTAAGATATAATAATAATTTTCAGTGTTTAAAAGTGTTCATTTAAATAAATGAAAAAATAAAACAATAAATACCTATTGAAGTAAAATTAAAACCTTATAATAATATTTATAATTTAGCATAATTAGCATAATATAGTGTGCATGGTCAATGGTCAATTGAAAATATATACCTACTTAATTTAAATATTATACCAAATTATAAAATGTATTATTTATTATTTAAACAATTATTTATAGTAGTTTATTTTAAGATATCAAAAGTAGCTAGCATATCATTCCATTATATGAATTTGAATAACTATTAAAATGGACAATGAATAATTATAAACATTGTTGATCACTAATAGTGAAATAACAGACAAGGCTCTCTCAGTATTTGTAATTTGTAAACGATGTATTTATGTAAAATATTTGGCCTATGTATTTTAAGTTAAATTTATCAGTGGCAAATATCTATGGATACTCATGATTGAAAAATATACACTTTCAGGTATCTACTTACATAACATACTCCAATAGTTATATAATTAAATTGTATATTCAATATAGAATTATAGGATAATAGGATAATTATTATAGGATTTAATTGCATATGCTTGAAACAAAAAAGTATACTACTCTCATAAGTTATAACCACGTTAATATGAAATGAGCAGCTAGTATAATTATAAAATTGTAATTTATCAAAAGTGGAGAACATAAATTATAATTGTTCCATCACTTTTATTTTTGGGCAAGCAAAAGAGAAACAAACAGAGTAGTCAATTCGCCCCTTATCTAAAATAATAACTTAATACGCTCTTGTTTACTAAAAAGAGGATTGAAGATATGAACATTATTCGGGAAAATGAAAAATGTAACGTCCATATCTAAAGGAAATTTACATATTTAACAAGTTGTTTACATTTATAAGTCATATTTTTTTACTTCGTTTAGGTTCCACATAAATGTTTCTCAGTTGCAAATAAACCATTTTTATTGTCACTTTGATTCAAAGTGACAATGTTATTATTATCATGGTTTCTACTTACACGTCGTCTATTGCTAATCATTAAAGTTCGTCGTCTCTAGTCTGATTTCTCATAATCACGGTATCACCAATTGAAGAAGCTACTAGTTTTACAACAATGTTTTTTTTATTTCGAAATAGATAACAATTTTATGATTGTTCAAAAATGCACACAAATTTGATACAAGTTTCATTATAAGTTACTCTTATGGCACTAAATTTAATAGATAATCCGTAATAATGACTTTTGTATACAAAGTTATTCTGTTGAACCCCGAATGATTATAAAATTTGTATATTGATTATACATATTTATATTTTATATTGTACATTCGAAATTTACGAACGAGATATGGTAAATCGTAGGAGAAAAGTCAATAAAGATAAAAAAAAGTAAAATATTGAATTTTTACCAAGGGCGGTCTGTAAAATCTAGGATTTATTTACTTAGAATTTACTATGGCAGTGATTTTTACTGTAACATATTAGGCAAGATACAAGATACATTATAAAACTAGAAAAGATATGATACAAGTATAAAAAAAAACAAGTAGGTATAAGATTGGTATTTTCAATTTTTTAACTTTTATAATTCAACATCAATTTAGTGAATAATTTGTTAACTTTAATAACTTATAAAACGTATTCTAATTTGAAATAAATTAAATAGTTAAAACTATAACAACCTATAGTTTTTAGATTAAAAGTATAAAATTAAATGTAATGTAATTAATTAATATCATGTTTAATACTTACAATAAATTAAGGTACACGTTTTTTTATGTGATTATTAATTAATTTGAATAACATCTATTTAGATATGTATTAAATGTTATTTATGTTTAAATGTTTGATTGCCTTTCAATAGACCAATATTTCAAATATTTTGTTTTTTTATTCTGAATATACATAAAAAATGCACACAAGTACTTATACGATTAGGGAAACTTAACAATATTAGTTTACCGTATTATTTAAAAATAATATAAAATAAAATTATTATAGATAAGTTAAATATACGCGTAACACAACATTTTAAATGTGCTATAAATAATGCTATAGTTACACTAAAGTAATAATATTAAGGATTTGATTGTCGAACTTAATGTTTAAACTCGAACAGTTCGGTACATTTTTTTTTTATTATTTTTTTTTTTTAATGTGCCATCTAAACATATTTAGTATAGACAATAATAAGGCGAAAATGATATACTCGTTCGTGTCAATAGGAAAAAAATAAATGTATCTTTATACCTAATTATTATAAATATTATGGATTTTTCATACTTTTGTTTAAAACTAAAATAACTGTTATAAGTACCAGAAAAAAATTGGATTCGAATACCAGTTCTTACAAATTGAAGTTCAACCTATCACTAAATTATAATTTAATCGTAATAAAGCATTTTAAAATATGTACAGATGTATGAAAAATTGAATATGTTGTGCATTTAAAATTTCAATGATATTAAGATAGGTTTGTTTAATAACAATATATCTAAATATGAACCTTAATATTTTTAATCTTAAAATTAAACTATATAAGAGAAATTGTTTGAATACTAATGTGCTTACATTTTTTTCTAATATAACAAATATTCAGTTATTATAATATGCAATATTTAATTGATATTTTATATAGACGACCCATACTTAAGAAAAAAAAATGACATTTTGTACAGTATAATATATACTTTTAAAACGATAGATTATGAACTGAATACATATTATGTTTGTAGAATTCCTAAGAATAAAAAATCTTGTAAGTCTTGAAAAACAGTCTAGTAAAAACAATATAGACTCCCATACAATAATGATTGTACATTGTGTACAATAATAAATTATAACTTACAAGTATACATGTCTATTTTTTTGAATGCACATTGCACACAGATAGCATTAGTGTATTAATTTAGAATCGTGTGTTTTTATAAAGTTACCAAGCGAAATTATTAAAATGTCTCAGTTTTTGATGGAGATTCGTTACTGAATGGTTTCAATATCAAGGAGTACGTGTCGGGCGGAAGAGCCATGCGCGCTTCCGGTATCGCCAATTGATCAGTGGCTTTTATTTCGTACCTTTGAAGAATACAGGCTAGCAAAACAAACCCGAACCCGGTAACCAATTGCTGCCCAATGCACGTTCTTTTTCCAGTGCTGAACGGCAAAAAATATTCAGGTTTTTTAATGCACGGTTTTGCGTCGGGTTTACGTTGAATGAATCGTTCGGGTTCGAATAATTCGGGATTTTCCCAGTACTCTGAACTAGTGTTGAGCTCGTAGTTGTTGATTATTATACACGTGTCTTTGGCTATTTTGAAACCTACACAGGTACACGAAAAAAAAAAGCATCATGTTAGAGTTATTTTATACTACATAATATGTACATATTATATAAATTACTATGAGGTAAGATTGAACATTTGAAATTACCATTTAATATATTTATTAGTATTATTTTCTATTCGGTGTAAAATAATATTAATCTGGACCTCATACATTAAGTTATTGCAAGTATTGTATAGGTGACGTTAAACTCTGTGTAATTTATATTGTTTTTTTCACCTTTAATTGTAGTGTTTTCGGTGGCCACGTGAGGAACGATGGGAGACGAGATCATTCGTAATGTTTCAAATAGTGTAGCTTCGGTATATGGCATTTCTGATTTGTCGTAAAGGCAAACCAGACGTTGTCCACTCGTGACTCTTTCAGCCTCGTCCCGGACAGCTTGAGCTACATGTGGTCTAGTGGCCACCATGGACAGGGCCAGCATAACCAAGTTGCCGACAGCCGAATGACCGCCAATGAAATCTTCGAGTTCAAACAGTACGTGGTCCATTTTGAGACCCGGCTCTTTATGCAGGCTCTTGAGCAGGGCATTGGTGAAATCGTTCGGTTCTTTTTTGTCGTCCGCGTCATCATAATACCGGCGGTTACCATCGTCATCGCTAGCCTCCATCACGGCTTTTATGTAACTACTCCTTGTTGACACGACATTGTCCATAATGAAACGTCTGATGTACGCCGACCATTCGGACAGTTGTTTCATATGACCTGCATAAAATGGTCGCAACCATGGTAAAAAATCCACCGCGTAACCCTGGTTAATGTCCCAGAATATCTCATCAAACGTCCGAACCATGGTTTGGAATTCAGGGTCCTTGTAACTAAATTGTTTCGAGCACATGAACCGAACAAACATATTGGCACAGGCCATTAACAATAATGGTTTCAACTGCACAACTGAGTCAGACCCATCGCTCGTGGTAGTTATGGCGAGTGACTTCAAAAATACGTCCACCTCGTCGGATGCTATAGAGTCAAGAAGACTGTAGTTGGAAGAGCAAACTTTTGGCGAACAGTATACTCGAGCTATCTTCCGTCTAGTCTCTTGAAGCCACGACCAATCACACAGTGCTAGAGCTGAAATGAAAATATATATATATATATATATATCACAGTTTGGCTACTTACTGGTGTCATTAAAATGTTCAAAAGGAATATGTGTTTTCTTTTATTATCGTATAGCTCGTACATACAAATAATTTATGAGTCATTGAAGTATACAAATTGAGAATTGAAATAAACCATAATTTATCATATTATTGTTATTTTTTATTTTTACTTATTTTATAACTTATAATTTCCTCTTTGAAATTGGTATATTTAGTACTGTCTTTCAATTTTAATCTACCATATTTTGTCTGTTTTCACACTGTAATTGGTAGTTAATAAAGTAATGATTACAGTGAGACTTGAGATGTTTAAAAAATTAAAATATTGATATTAATTAAAAAACAATTATGAAGGCGTAGTTACTTAAGTATAGGTTTTATTGTTATATACTTAAATGATTCTTATATTAAGTACCTATTACCAGGAGTTTAGGTAAGAGGGGTTTGGCGTTTAACCTCTAAATTACGAAATTAATGAAGGAATTATAGTCTGTTACTCTGGGTATTTAGACTGAAAAACAAATTTATCTATATAATTTTAGAATTATCCGCATGAGTGTTATCACTGTACCTATGGTAAATATTTTGGTACAGTTAAAAAAAAAAATGTAATATACACCAACAAAAACTCAGATATTGTATCATTGGTTCTACGAAAGAAGAGCTTAAGTTGAATTTGTCATTTTTTATGCCGGTAATTTAGTTTAGTGTAATTTCTTTTCATTTATTTTGGTCTAAATATGATATAACTGGCATTTTCTAACACTTATACTTATTGACAATTGAAATATTTTAAATTACTGTGATGTACTTTTTGTTTGACAAATTGTTATTTATAGATAAGGACATTTGGCAACAATTATGCCATTATATAATTTTATATGTTTAATATTTAATTTGCTTATGTTGAATACTATACAAAATTGTCTTAAACCCTTCTTCTCTGAGATCAAAGATATAATAATGTACATTAGTTTTAGAGTTTTTTTTTTTTTTTTACGAAAATCGTTTAATGAACGTTAAATAGGTACATATCTACGATGCGAACTGTTGTTCGAATCGAATTTGTTTTCAACACGATTTAAATAAATAACAAATAATTTATAATAAAATATATTTGTTGATATTTTTTTTGTTTTTTTTGTCATATGATACTCACAGTTGTTCCGGTCGCCAGCAAAAAGCACGTTGTATCTAATAAAATCGGGACGACCGCCGAACTTCGAGCCGTTCGTAATCAGCACTTCCTTGATGGACGGATAATCATTGACGATAACGCACGGTACAGAACCCATGGCCATGGCGTAGACGGGTCCGTACAGACGAGCCAGCTCGGTGAACCGACGGAACGGTTGGTCCCGGTGTCCGTCCATGACGTACAGGGCTCCGATTATTGGGTACGCGGTCGGACCGTTGGGCACCGTCGGCGATGGTGTGTCCCCGGCCTCCGAGCTGGTGACCGGCAGCGGTCTGCGGTGGCGGTGATACGTCGCCACGACCGTCAGCAGCAACAGCAACAAAATCAGTGGCAGTGTTACGACACCGGCATCCGCTACTACCCCGTTCGCGGTGTCCATAGTCGGTCTACGTCCGCCGTCGTCCGCCGCGATTCTTGTGTGTATATAACTATGATCGTACGCTTCCCCGCGGTCACAACGCGCTATAGCCACGTTTGCATTAGCTGTGACTATAATAGTATCCCTGCCGCCCTCCCCACCACTAGCGGGGACGATTGTACGATGGCGGTCGGATTCGTAAAGGAATCGGCGGAGACGGTGCAGACGCGTCTAATGAAAACGTCTTCAGTGGCTGCAGTGTAAAAAAAAAAAAGTTAAAAACAAACATATAATGTATACGAAGCGCAAACCGTACTTCTCGCCCGGTAAACGGGAGAAGAAATGATGTGTAAAATGTATCGAATTGAAAAAACAATTTAAAACAAAGATAATGGTATGTAAACCGGTTTTTTTATCGGAATAATAATAATTATAAAATATGGAAATATCGAAAACCTATATGGTTTATAACGAACAACAGCATCATCGGTTATTCGTGAAGCCCAGCCCCGTCTCGATCGCCCCTCTTTCTCGAGATGAATTGTTTTGTGTAATAATAATTATGTGTACGACGAGTATAAAGACAAGCGTAGGAATCCAATGTAAAAGATATTAAAAAACAGAAACGAAAAAACAAAAAAAAAAAATTATAAAAACCATTTATCAAAACAATAATATCTCATAAAATACGTAATATATTCCAATAGGTATATAAATAAATTGAATATTTAATATTTTCCGATTTTTATATAATTTAATTGCATATGTTTGAAACAAAAAAGTAAACTACCCTCATAAGTTATGACAATGTTTACATGAACGGGCAGCTAGTAAAATATAATAATATTAATAATATGATAGTTATCCATATGGTATAGCAATATGAAAATAATTAAAATCCATAGTTACGATTTTAAATTCTAAGCTTTTTACTTTTGCTTTATATTATATTGAAACTGATAAAAATTGTTGTCATAGTAAAACAAAAATAAAGATCATTGTAAATACCAATACTTTCTTCGATATACTTAAATTCTAAAAACGTATGATATAAGAGAACGCATGGGTTTTATTATTTTCAATTTTGGCTGTCCACTTTCGCTACTCACCCGACCATAATAACCTAATATAGATGATGTCGTACCACCCACACTCCTGGTACCCAAAATCATATTATTTGCTCCTCACGTTTTATTCCTTTTTTGGTGGTCGTAGTCATAACTAATTTGTACGGTTTATGTGTTTTACAAATAAATATAGATTTAATCAAAAAACGCAAGAGACCTTATTATATAATCCTCAATTATAAATTGTGAACTCATGGACCCCTCACACTAACCTGCTCAGTGTTCAGGGGGGCGCAATATCTTTTCGAAAAATTAAATAGTAATAATTATAATAACAATAATAAAAATAATAGCAATCATCATAATCTATTCCACTTTAACTTAAAGGTTTGTAATAATTTTTTTCTTTTCTTTTCTAATAATACTTCTATATAATAATTATTCTATCAATATAATAAATTTAACTATTCTACAGATAATGATAATTGTAAAGCGATAGATGACCGTGATAATGCAGATCCCATAATCCTATGAAAATAACTGTAGTTTGAGCTGGCAACTTATAATTATTTTAAATATAACATGATGCAGAAATCTGAGTATTTATCTTATAGTTTCACGTAAATGACATATTTTTTTTACTATTCAAGCAAAATAAAAATATTTGAAAAATGTCTATAGAATTCGATCCCTGATTAAAATTAAAAATTGAATCAACTATATTTTGTATGATTTAGGGATGGTCTTAATAATTCATTATCACATTGGATAATTCTATATGGTCCGGGCAATATATAATTTTGACATTTCCTATCAATATCGGACAGTACCAGAATGACCAGAAATGAACACATTATTCTACTTCACCCACAACATAATATATATTATTACATAAAGGTTTGTTTTTCATGACTTTTGTATAGAAAATCAAACAGTTAATATATTTATCAGTAATATCTTTTGACTTTTGAAAAAGACATTTCAAAAAAGTTGAATTTTTTTCATTACATAATTTAATTTTTTTCTAAATAAAATTATATAAATGTATAAATGATGTATAAATAATTATTCCACTAATATGTATTGTTAATCCTGAAAATGTTTATTAAATTATACTGGAAATATATAAAATATAAAATAAACATTCAATAGCAATATTAAAATTTTTATAAAATAGTCGTTTCAATGATGCTAAGTAATATAAACACAATAATGAAAATATTTAAAACTTAAAACAAACATATTTTAACAATATTACTAATGTTGACAAAAGGTTGTTAAACACTGAGCAATGTGAAAACAATATTTCCTGAGCTAATGGCTAAAATAATACATTTATTCTTGCTTCAATGTTTTGTTTCTCTGCCACGTTTACAATATTTTATACAATAAAAAAAAAAAATTAAAATACTAAAATTATACATTACACAAATGGTAGTAGTATAGTATATTTATATTTAAAACGGGTATTTTAACAATATGTTAAAAATAATCATTTTCTATCTGGGATAAATATTAATTATTGAAATTAGTCAATATAGTATAACTATAATGCCAATACTGTATTAGTTTAATAAAATTGATAATATGGAATAATATGTTCAAATACGTGATTCAATTCGGAATTTAATAAATATCACAATTCGTGAACGCCAAAATAATAATTGTTATATAATATGTAGTAAGTACCTACATATCAGTGTGCACGAAACAAACACGGTGTTTTCCGGGAATATTTTGTTCGTAAATATTATAAAGTATACGGTTATAGTTATACCTTACGGATTTACCGTATAATTGGTATTTTTTTACAAATATTATTAGATAGGTACATCAATATAGTTTTTTCGAAAAGACGAAAAAAACATTTTCTAATTTTTTTTTTTTTTTTTTCTAATTTGTTATTGAATTATAATACTGCAGTACAACATTACGCAGATGACCATCTATCGACGTACTCGTCGAATAATACGAAAATATGATCGCTACGGCCGGTCGCGCAAATACATGAATAAATATAATAATAAAATTGTAACGAAAAAACGCAAAATTCGCGTCAGATTGGACCGAATGCCTAATAGGTACTTCGATACACATTGTACTTACTGCGGGTTCGGTGTGTCAGCAACAAAAACGAAATCGCCGTCCGAACGTTGTTATTGAAAAAAATAGTAGAGGAGAGAAAAAATAAAGCCAGTTTGGGCGCACAAAGTAACGTGTTTACCGCTTGGCGGACGATTACAAAAGAAATAACAGCGACATGGCACTATGGAGAACGACGACCGCGCTACAGCGCGTACGTGAATAAGGAATATTGGAAAACTGGTTCGCCCGCGGACCGTACATAACTATTATGTACCCTTATTATATACAGTGAGCGGCTATCCAACAACAATACAAAGGTGTATCTAATTCTGAATTTAACTACCCCTCCCCCCCACACCAACCCTGGCATAGTGGCATACGATTCAGTAAACAATAATTTTCATACTACCTACCTATAAATACAAGGAAAAAAAATAATATACGTGTTTGGCTTTTAATAATAATAATAATATATTATTCATTAATTTATTCACACCAAATGTTTAGTTAGTATAGAACTTGCTTTGACAACAATTTTTATTATATTATCACGATCAATAACTTCTAAAATATCTCTTTCACAACTTATTATCAGTAAGTTTCCAATCTAATTTGTGTCATGGTTGTCCTTAATCTAGACTTAACAATTTTCAGTTTTGAAAAAAACCCTTTCAGTTTTTGCACTAGAAACTGGGGGAATCAATGCAATTTTCAGAGCTGCATGGAATACTCTAAATTACTAAAACCAAATTGTTGTAGTGAACTACCTTTTACATCTTTTTCATACTACATGCATTTATTATAGTTATTAGATTCCGCATAAATAGGACTATTTCTTCTTTATTATATGCTGATTTAACACGATCATAATACTGTACTTCTTTGTGAAATGATGTAGGCAATGTTTTCGTTTCTTCGAATATTTTGTAAATTTTAAAACAAATTTAAATACTCACATTTCAAGGTATTAATGTTTAATAAATTAATTTTACATTTTACAAAATTCCACAAATGCTTCATCAGGCATGACATTTAATTGGGATTATTTTTAATCTCATTCATTTGTTTAATAGAAAAAAGTGACAAGACTTTGTGTATCCCTACTGTCAAGTTATTGAAATATTGATCAAAATAGTTTAAATTTTGTGTTTAACGAATGTAAAACTATTTTTATTTTAAAGTTATTTAGTGGATAAGCAACACTTTCATCGCTATTTAATTAAATTCAGAAAATTCCAAATCTTAGGTTACAATAAACGTATCTATACGTACAATAAATAGTACTTGTTAGTTGTTCTCTTCTAGAATAATCAAATGTTGAATTAATTGATACACTAAATAATTTTGAGTGTTGAAGTTCATTTCCGACAAATGATTTTATACTGTTAGAAATACTTGAAATTATTTGATTCTGACGATTTTTGCTCGAAAAATTAACTTCCTATTTTTTTTCGACATTTCTAATTGAGTAATGCATGAAGCAAAACTCTTGTATATATGTTATATATTGTATTGTATGTTGTATATTTGTAAGTACTATAATACGTATACCATGCTAATATCAAAATTATTATAAGTTTATTATTTTCTAATTACTGATCTAAGATTCATTGATCATAATAATGTTATAATATTATGGTTTATATTATTTATAGAAACATTCAAAATGTAACGATTTCTACATCCAATCTACTATTGACTACTTAATATTTCTATTCTTATTTCATTTTATTATACTAACATGTCTTGTTTAATGTTAGGTACTTACTACTTATTATACTTGTATTATGATTGCTGTATAAGATAGACGCCGGTTAGTAAATTTCAGTTAGGGTTAATACTCACTATACCCATCATGGTCCATGATAA